TAATAGTTAAAATCGTTCCATAACTGATTATAATTGCTGGTGTAACCACGCTTTTCTTGCCGTGCACTAAGTAAAGGAACAAAGTTATATTAAATAGGCGTCTTCTACTTTTCAGCAAGATTGTGAAGTTTCTGAAGATTGCGAGCATAAGCTCGCACCAAAATTCCAAACATAGGATTCCCAACTTTAAACTCTCTAGAGTCTCAAATCTGATATCATGGTACCAAAAATTGTCCTTGGTTTTTAACGCTCTAGATCAAGTTCCAGATATACAAAAATATAAAAATTGCCATCATGGTACCAAAAACTGTCCTCAATAATTAACACTTTAGACTAACTTCCCGATATTTCTAGGTATATGATATTTTCGATAATGTCTTGAAATATAGTAACCTCTAATATGTAATGGACAGCTCCCAGAACTCGGGCCTGTAGGTTTACCTCATTCAGAACATAGAACACGTTTTTTAGCTTATAGTGTAATCCACATCCTTCAGAACGCATATATTAATATATACAGGATTTATTGCAAACATCACCAGAATTATGAATAAAGGGCAAAGATACTCACCGATCATTTTTGATTATATGAAAAATAATTATTTAAAGAAAAGATTTTGTATAAGTAATATATAAAAGTTTCGGTACCTTTATACTTAAAAATGATATATATATATACTTGTGATAGATGTGGAAAAGACTTTCCCAAAAGATGGAAACTAACTCGTCATACCGAAAGGCAATATCAATGCAAACCTAAAGCTTTTGTTTCTGAATCAGTACCTATTAGTATTCCAATTCAAATATCAGAGAAATCCGCTTTACCATTGCCAAAGTCTGATAATGAGATATCATCTCTGGATACAAACTTGAGGGTAGACAGTGTTTTACCCAAATCTGCTAATGATAGAAGGCCAGGTGAAACTGTTAAGCAATGGGATTCAAGATTACGAAAAAGAATATAAAGAAATATGTTATGAAAATTATGAGCAACCACGAACTTTAAGAGCTTGTCAAGTTCTTTATGATACTTTATTACAAATAGATGATGAGGCATATGACTGTATAGAACCTATAAGCAGACGATTGAAGAGCAAGAATTGCAACCAGTAGTTGAGCCTGCTAAAAGTCAAGTTGTAGATTCTCCTAAAGCTGGTTCAAGTTCAAAGATTCCTTTAGAAATAGACCAGACAAATGAGGAATTTGAGCATCTCAGTATGATAACTGGGGATAATGAAAGAAGTATAATATTTAGAGAGCAAAACATGGGACCAGCATTAAAAAGGCGAGCTGTTGCCGTACATAATGCAAAAGTTCCAAGATATCATCCAGATAATGGAAGCGATATCAGAAAAATGTTAGAGAGTCAAAGAAAACCATTTCAGGAACTACTTGAAAAAGAGTTCGACAAACGCGGGCAGTTCAAATTTTAATTATGTTCTCTTACAAAATTCCTTGTAGATGACAAACCAGGTTGCTGATAAAGAAAAAGATAAAAAAAAGAACACAAGAACTGATTGGTTACGAAATAAGCAAATTATAGTATATAATCGATCAGAAATTGATAATTATTTAAGTGATGCTTTCGAACAAATTATATATCAAGTGGAGGAGAGAGGAGGTAAGTCTAATGCTTGAGAATATATTGAGGTGGTAACTCAGTATCTTTGGGGACAATCTGAAGTTCTTCTCTAACAAAAAAACGTTCTGGACCATTGAAAAGTTTATAGAGAATCGGTTGATTATTTTTTTTCAATTGTGAAAACCTCCGGACTCCAGTTACAATCAGTTGATCTTCTTTTTCCGAAAGTATTACCCTCTAATTCTCCTGTTTCTAGAATATGACGAACTTCTGTATGGGTTGGTAAAAGGGACTCATTATATCCCACGGGTCGCCTATGCTTTACGGAGGGTTTACCAAGTATTTTTTCGCCGTTTAATGATTTTTTTACTGCCTCATTAGGCGTCATACCTATTTGGCTGGTAACAGAGTTATTATAAACATCGTCATCAATGTCAAGCGTTTCAAGAACGGCATCTTTCAGATAATGGTAAAAGAAAATCTACCGCGTCTTGTCGTCTAAAAGCTTGTTTTTCATATTCTTGATGGTCACGCTCGGCAATAGCAACGCCCCGCTTGCTTTTGGCATACGAAATTTTTACACCATGTCGAAGTAACATTTCTCTGCATTCTCCCATATACTCCGTTCCTTTATCCACTCTAAAGTTTTCAGGCCAAGTAAGAGGATTAGAGGGATTATTATAAATTTTCTTAATAACCTTAGCCAATTGTGCTGACGTTTTATCCGTCAAACCAAAACTCTTACGGTATCTGGTTGACACATCTTTTATCACGCCCCTATATTTGTAAATCCGTTTACCGACCTTATCATGAGGCATAGGCGTAGTGTCAGACTGATGCATCTGGTTAAACCTTTGTATTCCACTGAAAGAGGAATACTGAATAAATTTTGGGCGGGTTTATGTATTTGATGTAGCGCCTGGTTTTCAAGCCATTCTTTTACTTCGGATAAAGTAAAATCGAACCCGGCTTGTTTTGATGCTTCAAAAAGGTTCCTAGCAGTTCTTTGATATCCAGAAGGTTGGTAATATATTTTTTTTGTAACGCGATCGATATCTCAAGTTTCCTTACTTTTCCAGAATCGATATAGATCAAAGGTTGAGACTTTTTTTTTCTTTCAAATTGAAAGAAATAATCTGTTAGACCCGGCATTTGTGCAACTTGCTCAATCGAATATCGAATTACGGGAGGAGTTAAATCGCGAAGTAGACATAAATCGTACAAATGAGAGAAAAATTCGTAAGCTTATGCAAGAATTGGAAAAATGCGAGGGAGAATTATTTCGTCAGAGTAATACAATCACGGATCATGAGAATGAAATCGATGATTTAAAAATCCAAATATCAAATTTACGAAAACGATTGAGATCGACTCTCAAAGAAATCAAGGCAAACGAAACCGTTATTGTCACCAAAAACAATCAAATCACTTTATATGAAGAAAGTATTTCCAGACTTAAAAAAAGAATTATTTCACCTCAGAAAAATATCTCCTAATCAAATAGAAATGGCCAATCCTACTCCACTGAGAATACCAGGATCACCGAGGATGGATGATACCCCCAGGACATTTAGATCCGTCAGTCAATCAATTAGAAATAGAATACGTAGAAATTCTGATTTATCGCTAAG